GGGGGGGGGGTATTGGTGGCCATGGCCCCCACAGCTGCATCTGCAGCCCGATCATTTGAGGAAACTCTACTTTTCAGCTAAAGACAAACTAGAGAACAAAGTAAACCGATTTTTGGTCCAGGTGTGTTCTGATCAAGAACTCGTCCAGACGACCCGACAGAACCTCATTCCATTGATCTACTTGGATCACTGAGTATCAGGACGTCCGGATGTTTCTGCACCCCGAGCCAGCGCTAAACCCTAAACCTCTAAACCCTTTAGAAACTAAAAACCATTTATAAACCCTTCAGAAACTAAAAACCGTTTATAAACCCTTTAGAAACTAAAAACCGTTTATAAATCCTTTAGAAACTAAAAACCGTTTATAAATCCTTCAGAAACTAAAAACCGTTTATAAACCCTTTAGAAACTAAAAACCGTTTATAAACCCTTTAGAAACAAAACCGTTTATAAACCCTTTAGAAACTAAAAACCGTTTATAAACCCTTTAGAAACTAAAAACCGTTTATAAATCCTTTAGAAACTAAAAACCGTTTATAAATCCTTTAGAAACTAAAAACCGTTTATAAACCCTTTAGAAACTAAAAACCGTTTATAAATCCTTTATAAACCCTTCCCAAACTTTTCAATGTTCTAACCTCTTAAACCTTTGTGTTTTAACAACATACCTACAGGACTGTTTATGTAGCTGCTAAATTTTACTCACCAGGTTCTGCAGAAACAGAACTGCTCCGACTCGGTTCCGTTTCTGCAGATCTAGCCTGCTGGTTCTGGTTGGCTCTCTGCTTGGGGTAGTGGCCGGTGCAAGACCGGCGGTCCGATTGAGTGGTCCAAGAGATGAAAAAGGTCCCGTGGACTCCGGATGGAGCGCCGGATCTTCGGTGGTGCACGTCCCATTTGGAAGTCCTCGTGGGCTGGCTACCAGCTCTCAAGATTAACCGATGGATCTGGAGGTCCAGTTCTGGTTTGGTGGGTTCTGAGTCTCTCTGCATGCGCTGGGCACCGAAGTCTCTGTAATTATCGTCAAACTTTTTCCGATCAGATCAAAACTTTTCCCTCTCAGTTTTCAGCAGAAGGAAATGGGGCTTCTGGGCGGGGCCCTGTTGGCTTCTGGGAAATGTGGTCATTATGAGCGGTGATACAGTGGAGGCTTAATGAGAGAAAACTACAAAATGGTGGCACCTGTCCACAGTATTTTGTTTTTTTTTTACATTTTACTGTACAGTACCCCGTACTGTCTCCGTCATGTGAGTAATAATAAAGTGGACCATCACGTGTCCTGCACACATTTCCACGTCCAGTCTTACTTTGAAAAACTGCAACAGAGCAAGTCCACGAAGGTCGAAACACAAAGTAGCGAGGGACTACTATACTTGAAATTTTTTCAAGATAAACTTTGAAAACACCCACCTTCATTTGATCTGGAGCAGAAGATTTCCGTGTAACAAACAGGATGTCCTCCTTGACTCGTCTCTGACAAAGAGACGCTCTCAGAGAATAAAAACCATCATTTAGTTTTCCTTCACTTTATTTAGCAGAAACAAATCACAACAGAAAGGAGACCATCTTTGACTCGACACGCTCCCTAACTAGCAACACTTCATGTCTTTGTGTCCTCAAGGTTGAGTCTTTGTGCAGAGACTGCAGGATGATCCAGGACCGGAGCTCACACAGAGCCCACAACCCTTCCCACGATACATTTCAACGGTCAAACAAACATTAAGCACAATTCAAAGGTACATTCTGGGAGCGGCTGCTGGTGGTGATGGTTAGTGGTTCCCTTGTTGAGCTGACACGTGACTAACTCTTCGAACACGTGGCTAACTCTTCGACGGCTTCTTTTTCCTCGTCTTTGTTCAAGAGTCACATGACGGGCCCAGCCAGGATCAAAACGACTGCTGCATCATAATTCTGTACAAAATCCATAAACTCAAAGGTATTTACAGCGTGTGGTGACAGACGAGGCCTCTGTGGGCTCCACGTGAAACTAATAGCACCTCTGGAAAGACTAAGACAAACTCGGAATTTGCAGGTGAGTCCCACGCGACGACGAGGTGAGTCTTAGTGGTAAAGACGCAGCAGCCTCAGACTCATGGCTGCTTCATGACGAGCAGAAGATCAACGGGACAGATGGTTATCAGCAGCCCGACTGTCTGTGACACCACATCTTTGACTGACTTCACTGATACGAACTATTGATAACTACGTGACAAAACACAGCTTGAAAATGGTCAGAACATCCCTTTAAGCTGCCTCGGGTCCATTCTTCTTCTCTGGACAAATGTCGGTGGAGCTCAGAGGAGGCAGATCAGACTCTTGCCCTCCTCGATCTCCTCCTGGACCTTGTCACTTGACGTGGCGATCTCGGCCTGAGCGGAGAAGACGGCGCAGATGAAGGTGAGCACGGTGCCGCCCATGGCAGTGTAGAAAGCCCAGCCCATAGAGCAAAGTCCGGCCCGGTACGGAGCGGCGTCTGGACCGCAGAACAGCTGCACCTTGTCTGAACCCCAGCCAGCGGGGTACAGCATCAGGCCCAGGATGAGGAACAGCCCTGCCAGAAACAAACACACGAGTCGGTCGTTAGAACACGGCCAACAGCTCGTCCTTCAGGCAGAAACTGAATCTCTGTTAACTTCAAGCTCCACCCCCTCCACTCCAAGCCCCACCCCCTCATGATGCTCATGCAGCGCAGCCTTTCAGGTTCCAGGACAAGACCACTGATCCACTGGATCAACTCCACAAATAAATCCACCAGCTTCACTCTAGGCTGCTCTGACTAATAACCAATTATTAATTAATAATCATAAAAATGACAAAGAACTTCATCTGGGTCCTCAAATCAGAACTAATTTCTTGGTTTGTAGTTTGAGCAGTTTTTTTTTATTTATTTTTTATAATCTCTTCACAAAAAGGCAAAAGTCCTGAAGGTTTGAAGGACTAATTTTCTGCCCCCATTACAGACCTAAGGGGGGACTGGAAACATCCATCCATGCATATACAAACCATACCATACCATACCATACCATTTTATTTATAGAGCCGCCCTGCAGCGCCGCCCTGCAGCGCCGCCCTGCAGCGCCGCCCTGCAGCGCCGCCCTGCAGCGCCGTCCGAGCAGCAGAAAACGCTGCAGGAGTGATTTCTAGTTTAATGCAACTGAGGAGAATTGCGGCTGGACTTAAACAGGAAGGAGCGGCCCAGCTTGGGTCTGGACACTCAGTCCGGTCACGGCGGCGCTGACAACAACAGGAAAAGGTGGTAGCCGATAAGCTGGTGGGTTTTTCCACCAGCCCCCGCCATCCTGAGTCTCAGTGGAAGGACGAGGTCACTTCCTGTCTCATTGTGACCCACTTTCTGTTGTGAGGACACCAACGTCTCACACATTGAGCAGTTTCATGTCATGAGGTCTCCATCATGTCCACTGAGGCCGTCTGCAGTAATCCGATTACAGAAAGTAACTGAGCCCGGCAGGGCAGGAGGATCTGAGCTTCATCTGTGCCTCAGTTTGATTAAAACAAGGAGGTGAAAGTCTCCTGATCTCTTCTCCTCTCGCTTCACTTCCTTTCTTTCTCCTCACTTGAGTCAGCCCGTATCGTATGAAACAAGGAAATGAAAAGTAGGTCATAAATTCTTTCCACATGTTGCTGCCTGGACGTTCAGGCCAGCCCTGCTGATGGATCGAAGCGCCCCCACCTCCTCCTCCACCATAAAGATGGACCTCCTGACCTCAGAGCTAGCTTGGCCCTGCTTCTTGTCTGTGCAGCAGCCGAACCATCAATCGTGTGATAACTACTGCCCGTCACCTCCACCCCCCCACCAGCCTCTGACAGACACACCAAGGCCACTGGTCCCATGTCAGGCATGAAACAGATGCAGCTCCCTCACTGGGAGAAAAAGGTAAGAGTAAAACCTGCTGGCAGAGCAGAGCGGTCTACAAATGACACTTCAGCTTATATCTGTGGACATGCTCATTATTGAACTGCTAAATTCATCAACGCATGCTAAAACTGGCAGACATTAGCTGAAAGCTAAAATCAACCAAAAAGTGGAGACTATCTAAATGTAATTAAAAGGCAGTTATAAACATCAAAGGGTTAGCTTAATGTTTGAAATGGTAGCTAAAAGTCAAACATACGAAAAAGGGTGAATAAACTTACAACAAGCTTTTGTTGTATTCATTATTTACATGAACGCTCCTACAAGGATGCTGCAGATGTTGGATGCTGCAGATGTTGGATGCTGCAGATGTTGGATGCTGCAGATGTTGGATGCTGCAGATGTTGGATGCTGCAGATGTTGGATGCTGTCTATCATGGTGCACTAAGATTCATAACTGGCTGTAACTACCGTACCCACCACTGCACCCAGTATTCACTGGTTAAATGGTCACCATTAACTTCACACAGACTCTCCCACTGGTACTCCCACTGCCCCCCCCCCCCGTGTGGTAGCCTAGGTTGGATGTGAGGCACCAGGTGGCTGTGACGGTCTCTTGGGCAGCCTGTGCTGGGAGACCCCTCCCACTCACATGCATCTTATCGTGTTCTCTGTACGTTGCTTTTTGTGCCGACGGGTGTTCTTCTGTGCACAAACAGCTGATTGTGATTCACGACACCAACGTTTAGTAAGTTTCTTTCACACTCATCATTTACAGAAGAAATTATTTTACCAGTTTGAAAAAGCAAGTTCAAACAGGACATGTTGGGCTAGCCGTTAGCCTGGATGTCACAGCTGACCGGTAACATCTGACAGAAGTTCAGAACTGACCAGGCGATCGTTTGAGATGATCCATTTAACAGCAGCAGTCAGGACTCGTGTCAGGGAGGTCCAAGTGGTTTAGGACTTGTTATGATGGGCTAACGGTCCCGGGAGTCACTCCAACTTAATGACGTGACCATCTCTGGCAATAGCACCACAATCCTCTCATGTGAGGTCAATCTCTTTCCTAAACATCTGCTGTCTGGATCCAGTTTTCTCATTACTGGAGCGCTGCCTGGCTTCTGGGAATGATCGTCAGTAAAATGTTGGTCCCTTTGAGTGACATCATCGAGCACACTCATGGAAACATGTTAGGTTTGACACACACTGACTGGTTATTGACAGTGGTACGATCTGCTCCAGCCGTATGTCCCACCACGTTCTCTCAGATCAGCAGACCAGTTGCTCCTCACAGTCCCAGGAACCCGTCTCAAGCGCAGAGGTGACAGGGCCTTCTCTGTAGCAGGACCAAGACTTTGGAATGAGTTACCTCTGCTCGTTAGACAGGCCCCCTCCCTCACAGTTTTTAAATCTCGCTTAAAAACACACTTCTATTCCCTGGCTTTCAGCACTGTGTGACCTGTGCTGAGTCTGTGTGCATCACACTGTGTTGGTCATGTTGCAGTTGTTGTTGTTATCCATTATTGTTTTTGTTGGTTTCTACTTTTTGGTGTCCTGTTATGTAATCTGTTGCTGTGTGCTTGTTCTGTTTGTCCCTGTACAGCACTTTGGTGTGCTATGTCACTGTTTAAAGTGCTTTATAAATAAATTGGTATGGTATGGTATGGTATAGTAGAAGCAGCACAGGAAACATCGGCAGTGACACGACCAGCGGCAGACTGGCCCCAGTTCCCTCCTCTGGGTTAAACTGGAAGATGAACACACTTCGGCTGTGTGTGAATATAAACCCTCCCGCCTCCTCGGCTGTTTGAAGCTCCTGTCGCCCACTCTCCACTTCCACATCCTTATTGTCTGAACAATGAACCCCAACAGAGCAGTTCCCCTCTTTAATCAACAGCCGTGTGCGGGGTGGGGTGGGGGTGGGGGGGTATGTCCCGTCAGGAGCTCCTGTGATGATATCTGGCAGCTCCATTGTTCATGAATACTCCCAGCTCAACACCGACTGGCAACCTGCAGCTTAACAAAAGCTTCTTTACTACTTCTACTCATTCAAGCTGTTTGAAGAGTCAAACATGCTACGTCCATGTTGCTGCTGATGGATGAGTCGTGAGTGGTGGTAGTTTTTAAGGTGCTTTTCTGGACTGGAACCGTTAAAGGTTTTGGCCGTACCGGCCCTGAACTGGTGCAGCGTGGTGCAGAACCGATGAGAGCCGAGACAGTTGCACCACGAGCGTTAGATTTACCTTTTAACGTCCCTCCCACTTTACGTTCGGCCCCGCCCCAAATAAACAACAATCACTGGTGAGGACCAGGACTAAGTACCGAACTTCGGTTCTTTTATGGTACTGACCGAACTGCTTCGGTCGGGGTATGGATAAAATATGCCTCGTCTTTCAGTGGCAAGTTTAGGTGATTGGCTGTAACGTTCAACCACGTGTCACGGGACACATGGTTTCATCCACGTGTCACGTGGTTGAACGTTACAGCCAATGCCAGCGCTGCAACTTGCAGCCACCAGGAAAAACACATACGTCGTTACGCCCACAGACGGGGTTCACGTGTAGTTATGACAAACCATTAAAACCATTAATAGCCACAAACAGCCACTTGTGTGAATGTTCAGGTGTTCCACCTGAGATGTTTGAAGCTTCATGAAACATTTGAAAAGTTGTGGCTTCAAATGAAACGTTTGGCTCAAAGAGCTTTTCAACAACCTCGACGAGTGGCGGTCACCACAGGAGCAGCGTGCACGCTCCTCTGCTGTGCACCATAACGTGCTCCTCACACAAACATCACATAGATTCTTATGACGGTTGTGTCTGACCTTGGTCAATCACAAATCAATCACAGGCAATGATTATGAGACGACACCCTCACACTTTGTGTTGTCTAAGTGTTTGTGGCTCCGGAGATATTTTGCTGACAGTCGTCTCACCTGCGATCCCTTGCAGCAGTCCACACACATTGAAGATGCTTTTCTTCATAATGCTTTGGAAGCACATGGTGAAGACGGAGATGAAGGCCACAGCGCACAGCAGCAGGATCCCTGCAGCCAGGAAGATGGAGGTCGCCTGCCAGAACCCGCTGGCGATCTCCCCGAAGTGGATGGCGTACGGTCCACACAGGACCCCCTGCTGCGTGTGGGGCAGCTTGATACAGCGGCCGTAGATGCCTAATGTGGGTCTGTAGGCCTCGCCGGCTGCGGACGCCCCGTGGGGACCGAAGATGGCGTCAGGCGTGCGGGGATATCCTACCAGCCAGTCGGTGCTCATGAAGGCGATGAGCTCTCCAAACGCAGCCACGATGCTCAGCAGGGTCCACAGCATGGAGCGGCAGGTGACGATCACATGGCACATGGTGGCTCGGCAGATCTCCACACAGACGTCGTAGGCCGAGGAGCTGAGGTCTTGATCCTTTTCTTGTGGACGGGGGACAGTGTGTGGCCCCTTCAGAGAAAAGACAGCTGAGTTCAGTTTTCCTGATCTCCTGATGGAGTCGTCTCTAGTGTTCTGCTGCCTCGTCCTTAGAGTCTACATCGTACTGAAGACGTTGTCCGAGCCAGCCGGCTGGCACCATGTCACAAACACCTGGGAGAGAAACAGACAGGAACACAGTGAGGGACAGAAGCTTCTGGTTTCACCACAGGTTCGAGATGTTGGCAGGTTGAACAGCAGCAGAAGGAGCAGAGAGGAGGACAGGAGGTGCAGGTTTCAAAGGAGGAGGGGGCCTCGTCTCTGCTCCTCCGATTCCTGATTGAACGGAAACAACGGAGTCTCACTAGAAATTTAAAAAACAAAACATTTCTTCTTAAAAATGAGACGTTTGAAAACGTCTTCATGTTTGACACAATTGATTTGATTGGCTGGACGCCTAATCCATAATCAATTCTTCATCCCCGAGTTCAGCACGGACAACAATGATGGGACCGATCAAAGAAGACAAATGTCTCTAACAGACCATGTTTATCTGAATTTGGCTCCCTTGGCTGGCCTTGAAGGTCATCTTATCTGAATTCACCTGGAGAACATGTGATCTGACGCTCAAGGCCACCATAGATTAACCTTCGGCAACCCCAAGAACCACCCCAGTTATTTAAGGAAACTTTGCTTTTAAGTAAAAATAAAAACTTCATAGTTTCCTCAAATGATCGGCTGGTTTACACACGGTGGCGGCCATCTTGGATTTTGATGCGTCAACATGTTGATTGGCACCTTTTTTAATGCCCATAGATGCAGCCACGCATCAAAACAGAAGTCGGTAACTCATTTATTTTTCAGGTTATCAAGCTCCAAACATGCATGGACAGAAATAATTTACATCTTGTCTTCTTTGCTCCATGACGGGGACAAAAAGGTGAATATTCAGTTGCACACTCGTTGAATTCTGAGTGTCTGTGACCATTGAGCCAGGCACTGAGCAGTCACTGGTTGAAAACCACAGCCTGCTCTCTGGAGCACGGCTCAACTCTATTCTAGGCCAAACACAAAAACTGGTGGGAGTTGTCCAACTCTGCTCACATCACACCATCCTCAGCTTTGGACTCACTTTAGCAGCCACCCCCACCTTTATGATTTAATCTACTGAACTGTGTGTGGACGGACGGCCACATTCCATTTCTTCTGCAGTCTCAGAGCTGAGAGATTCTGACTTCAAACATTTTACCAGCCTGTTTTTAATTTATAGATTGATAAATATGAAACTGGAATGACTTGGATGTTCAACCTTTGACCTTGTTTATCCTATATTTGAATCTTATGCCATCTTACTGGTCAATAGCTGCACATTCAGTTTCTCTGACATTGTCTTGAACACAGATTAAAACAGGCAAAACTTCAGATTTAAACATGTCAAACTTGTTCGTCCTGCTCTAATAATGGTATTTGTGACATGTGTCCAGACGTCTGGTTGAAATTCCCAGACAGACCAATCTGAGCCTTGTGGTCCACACACACGGGGCTCAAGGTAGACTGAGCAATCGGGGGGGACGGACTGAGGAGCATTCAAGGTTCAGTTTACAGACCACAGACTACACCTACTGACCCCAAATGCCCATGAGCACCCATAGTTTGAAGACTCCTAACGTTTTATGATTGTTTATTGTTGTTGTTATTGATGTCCACTGTTGTCATCAGTCTTTGTTAAATAAATCAGGTCTCTGTTGTAAATGAGTCCCTGAGGTTCAATGGAATTAACTTGTAGAAATAAAGGTTGGATGAATGAACTAAAATGTCAGACACATGTGCGCTCAAAGCCAGAAGACCAGTGTCTGTAGGAAAAGTGAGATGAATGAATGAAGAGTGTGTAGGCTAACAGGGTTTCTGTCATGAGCAAATGTTCAGCTGTCTATAAACTCAAACGAGAGAAACAGTTACACAGACGATATCCTGACGTATGCTCCACAATCCAGGTAGAAAAACCTAACAAGTCAAGTCAGGTCTTCTGTCCAGAGGACCAGACTTACCATTTTTTTCGCTCTATAAGTCGCAGTTCTTTGCATCATTTGCATGCCCAGCGACTTGCAGGCTGAAGCGACATATTAATGGAATTTTCCATATTTATAAACCAATTTTTGGCAAAGATATGACCGATTTCATTCACTTTAATTTCTAGCTGAAATTTCTGAACACTACCATTTTCAGCCACTAGATGGCAGTCAAGTAGTAAGGCATGCCGCTGTATTATGTAATAGGTAAAAAGTGGCTATTAATTGACACAATAAGCTTGCCATAGCCTGCCACCTTCATCCAGCTTGCCTGGAGCAACCGTCAAATCAGCTTCATTTTGCTGCACCACATCTGAAAAATTCAGCTGATGTGACCGTCAAAGTGCATTTATCAAGTAAAAGTTCAACTGAGACACAACTTTACTATAATGTCAAGCAAACAAATAATAGTTTTTAAGTGTTAATCTTCAGAGAGACCATGAAGAATGACTTCCGTATGGCTTCAAGGCGATTCTGGTCCACCATCCGGCATCTCAGGGCGGGAAAGCGGTACACCACCAACACTATTTATAGTGGAGGTGGTGTGCTGCTGACCTCAACTCGGGATGCTGTGGGTCAGTGAGCAGAATACTTTGAAGACCTCCTCAATCCCACTGGCACGTCTACCTCTGAGGAAGCGGAGCCTGGGGACTTTGGGTCGGGCCCTCCAATCTCTGGTGCTGAGGTCACCGAGGTAGTTAAAAAGCTACTCGGTGGCAGGGCCCCAGGGGTGGAGGAGATTCGCCCTGAGTTCCTTAAGGCTCTGGATGTTGTGTTGGCTTACGCGACTCTGCAATATTGCGTGGACATCGGGGGAAGTTCCCCCTGGATTGGCAGACCGGGGTGATGGTCCCCCATTCAAAAAGGGGGACCGTAGAGTGTGTTACAATTACAGGGGGATCACGCTCTTAAGCCTCCCTGGTAAGGTCTATTCTGGGGATTCTGGAGAGGAGGGTCCGTTGGATAGTCAAACCTTGGATTCAGGAGGAGTAGTGCGGTTTTTGTCCTGCTCATGGAACACTGGACCAGCTGTACACCCTCAGCAGTGTCCTGGAGGGTGCGTGGGAGTTTGCCCAACCAGTCTGCATGTGCTTTGTGGACTTGGAGAAGGCGTTCAACCGCATCCCTTGGGGACCCCTGTGGGGGGTACTCCGGGAGTATGGGGTACCAGGCCCTTTGATACGGGCCGTTAGGTCCCTGTACGACTGGTGTCAGAGCTTGGTCTGCATTGCCGGCAGCAAGTCGGGCTCATTCCCAGTAAGAGTTGGACTCAGCCAAGGTTGCCCTTTGTCAACAATTCTGTTCATAACTTTTAAAGACAGAATTTCTAGGCGCAGCCAAGGTGTTGAAGGGATCCTTTTTGGTGGCCTTAGGATCACTTCTCTGCTTTTTGCAGATGATGTGGTCCTATTGGCTTCATCAAGTAGTGATCTACAGCTTTCGCTGGAGCGGTTTGCAACAGAATGTGACGCGGCCGGGATGAGGATCAGTTCATCTAAATCCGAGGCCATGGTCTTGAGCCGGAAAAGGGTAGAGTGCCCTCTCCAGGTCAGGGAGGAGGTCCTGTCCCAAGTGGAGGAATTCAAGTATCTCGGGGTCTTGTTCACGAATAAGGGAAAAATGGAGTGTGAGATTGATAGGCGGATAGGTGCAGCATCGGCAGTGAAGTGGGCGCTGTACCGGTCTGTTGTGGTGAAGAGAGAGCCAAGTCAAAAGGCAAAGCTCTCAATTTACCAGTCGATCTACGTTCCTACCCTCATCTATGGTCATGAGCTTTGGGTTGTGACCGAAAGAACGAGATCTCGGATAAGAGCGGCTGAAATGAGTTTTCTCTGCAGGGTGTCTGGACTCTCCCTTGGAGATAGGGTGAGAAGCTCTGTCATCCGGGAGGGACTCAGAGTAGAGCCGCTGCTTCTCCACATCGAGAGGAGCCAGTTGAGGTGGCTCAGGCATCTGTTTAGGATGCCTCCTGGATGCCTCCCTGGTGAGGTATTCTGGGCACGTCCCACCGGGAAGAGACCCAGAGGAAGACCCAGGATACGCTGGAGGGACTGTGTTTCCCGGCTGGCCTGGGAACGCCTCGGGATTCCCCTGGAGGAGCTGGCCCAAGTGGTTGGGGAGAGGTAAGTCTGGGCCTCCCTACTTAGGCTGCTACCCCCGCAACCCGACCCCGGATAAGCGGAAGAAAATGGATGGATGGTATATTTCTCTGATGGAAACTCCAAACAGCCGTATTGATTCCTTTAAAGTCGAGCTCACAGCTTCTCCAAGATTAATCCCGCGACCCAACCCCAGATAAGCGTTACAGAATGGATGGATGAAGTGTTAATCTTGTTAAATTCTTGTTTAAGTCCTCCCGTGCACGCTCCTTCGGTGCCATTTGGCAGTCCATCAATTTTTGACACAACACCAGCCCACGTTTCTGGGTTGTCAGTGGTGATTCATAATAGATGTGACAAAGTGACATATTTATGAATTTTTCCACTTCATGAGACATGTTTGGACTGATGTGACTTACAGGGCAGAGCGACGTGTATGGCAGAAAACACGGTATGCAAGCGCCCGGGGAGCAGTTATGGATTAGGTGTCTTGTTCAAAGACACCACGACGTGGGAATGGCTGGGAGTCGAACCACAACTTTCTGGTCCCAAGTCGGCTGCCCACCTCTACCCCGTCTCGGCCCCATATTAAATCTTAAACCACCTCAGCTGACTCCTTTCAATGTGGAGGAGCAGGGGCTTCTCCCTACATTTCTGAGAGTCTCATTTAAATTTGTTGAGTTGTTTATGAGATATTTTGCTAAAAGGCAAAAAAATGCACTATTTATGTTATGACTACATCGATATCATCATTTTAAGACATGGGAAGAAAAATTTTGAATAGAGGAGTTCATCTGGGCGTCCTGTTCAGGAGGGCTGGGAGGATGGAGCGGGAGATGGATCGATGGATTATGGCCTTGTTCTCAGTAATGAGAGTGTTGATTTGGTCTGTTGTGGTGAACACAGAGCCGAGTCTAAAGGCAAAGCTCTTGATTTACTGTGCTGTCTACGTTCCAACCCTCACTGATGATCATGAGGTTTGGATCAGGACAGAAAGAATCAGATC